GAAAAAGCTTTCGTTAGCCCATTGACTCATAGAACAGTGTAAAGCCTAACGGCCCAGAGAGAATCTGGATCAATCTAATGATCACAATTGTCTTTTGCAATTGAATTTTAATGGTTTTTTTACAAGTCCAAATTATCTGAAATTTGCATTATCTATTCTTCAAGAGTAGTCAAATCTAATAAAAATATCAAAAAAATAATTCGCATAATAAAATTGATCAAAATACCTCTGAAAATGTTTTGGGGGTATTTTGGTCAATTTATTTATGTGAATTATTATTTTAATATTTTTATTAGGTGCTCCAAATTTTATGCTATTTTGGATTTATATATAAAATATTAAAATTATATTACCAATATGCAGTCTTGACTATCAGAGAGAGATTATGAACTTTACTCAAACAAAAAGATGCTAGGAGAAGGGGAGAGAGTTTTTTACAAAAAAAAAAAAATTAATCATTTTTACCCATGTAATGTAGAGAGAGAAGTAGAGAGAGGATATGTAGACCCACAAAAGAAAAAAAAAAAATTTGGTTCTTGAAAATCAAAAATTTTAAATTTTCGGTTATTCAAAAACTGAAATTGGCCTCATTTTTTGTTGTTGAACAACTGAAAATACTTTGAATTTGATTGTTCAATAATCGAAAAACGTTAAAGTCATCTTTTTTATAAATTTCTGTTTTGACATGAAAAAAACGGACACGGTAGTAATAATGGAAACTATTCGGTGGAGCCATAATAACGAAAGCTATAATGGATATGTATGTAATTATCCCTAGTTTTTATGCTCACCCCAAATGTCGTAGGCACATTTTCCTGGAAATGAAAGGAAATATTCTTTTTCTTAGAGATATTTAAATAATTTTTAAATTAAAGTAAATATTCTTTTTTAAGAAATATTTAAATAATTTATTCCTTCTATTTTTCTTTGGTACTCTATTCTAATTTGTGCTGAAGTTGGTTTTTGTGAAAATGATTTTTTGGTACTAAAATTGTATTATATATACTCGTACCTTTAAGAAAATATAATGCAAGAATACTGAACAAAAACATTTGTTTGGTACCTTAGTAATGAGAGGAATGAATATAACATGTAAAAGAATAAAACTATTCAATAGTCCCAAGGAATTTAATTAAAGGCAGTACCCGAGAGTGTATTTGATCCTCATCAGACAGACGCAATGTTTTAGGTAGTACACAAAATTACATATACCACGATTCCTCTTTCTATCAATACCTACATGCATCGTACATACAACTAGATGCGTATGTGCGTGTGTATATGTCTAAAAAAAAAGCTCGTACAAGGTTGACTTTAAATTACAGAAGTAAAGTGTACCTCAAAAATTCAATAGAATTTGATCATTTTTTACCTCGAGATATATGGATATAGAAACAAAAAAGAATTTTAAGTCTTAAAATGGTACATCTTGTAACAAGTTATTTAGACCGTTTATTTTCAAAATTTTGAAGTGTTTATAGAATTGCTTAATCTGCATTGTTTAAGTTTCATAATGTCGGTTGAACATTGATT